GGCTTTGTAGAAACCATTTTCAAATCATCGTGATACTTTGGCCTCTCCTTTGTCTATCTCGTTATAGATTTCTACCGTTGTCAAATTAGTGTGTTGTCGACTTTAGGATGTTGTTAGAACAAAGATCTCCCAATTCAGCATTCAATTCGTTCAACATCAGCTCACTAATTTTTCAGCCTTTAAATTCCATTAATCTCGAATTCAGTTTTTTAGAGGAATGAATAACCCATGAAGCAATTAAGCAATTAATTTTTTCTCGCAATTCCACTTTTGAGGGATATTGAGCAGATTATCCGGAGATCATTTACAGTCGTTTGCTGTGAATTCGAAAAAGAAGTATATTTGTTCTGATTATTGTTATAATTAGTTAGTATACATAATGAAGCATTGGGTAAAATAAAATCAGTAGGGCACATAACTCACCAAAGCTTACATATGTTATTGGGCGAGTATTAAGTATTTTTTTATTTCTGCTATCAAAGTTATCTCTCTTTCTTCTAAAGATTTCCTCCCTATTATTAGATTTCTTCCCTATTATTAGATTTCCTCCCTCTTAGAGCCTTTTTGGTAAGTCCGTTAATTCGTTCGTATACATCTCCACCCCGTGGTGCTTTGGGTATCGTTGTTTTTCCATACCAACCTCTTTACTGCTATCCAGTTAAAACTGACTGCTGTTATCGCTTAAGACAAACTTCGAATATTCACATCAAGCAATGAATCTTCTTAAAACGTGCATAAAATTTTCGGTGGTCAAGTTTTCTGCCAGTTCGAGATTCACTGCTCTTATAGTAAAATATGTGAAAAGAACTATCCATCTTTAACTATTTGAATATCTGATTTGTTTCCCCATATAATCTAAATGAAACCTTTACGAAGGTTCTTGATCGCTTCACTCTCATTGGGAGGTTTGGGCATTGTAGGCAGTTTGAATGCTTTAGTTCTCCAATGCCTGCGATTCATATATCAAGATATGGCCCGTTTAACTGCAGATCTTCCTTTCGATATCCAGAATTTTCGCCTCAATTCGCAAAAAGTGTAAGCGATTCCTGCTTGATATATTTCATGTTGTTGTTTAATGATAAGCTTACTAATGTTGCTGTGGTTTGGTAAATAGATAGGATACTTGTTAGTTTATCTTGGCACAAGCTCCATGTGTTTATTTTCTCTTCTGTGATTCCTTCCGATTGAGCTTGCCTAATCAATATTCATTTCGCTCTGTCATAGTCAGTTTTGACCATGTAATTTCCTCTAATAGGCAATGATCTGAACCAAGAAATTCTCTTCTATGGGTTAATTTGATAAACCGGAGAGTCCACACGGTTATTCTCAATAAATGTATTCCTTTACTAAAATAGTGTACGATAATGAATCGAATTAATTACAAGACGAATTTTTTTGAAAGTTTTGTTTGGTTATCGATTACGATTTCAGGTTTATGGTTCTGATAACGTGATCAAAGTACCAAAAACTCAATCCAGAAAATAAGGGATATGTATGAGAAGCACTGCATTTCTATCTCTGACAATTTCCTCTACTGAAAAATTTACTTATCATAGTGCTCTGCACCTTTTTTATCGATGTCAGTCAGCTATCAAAAACCATTTCATTGACTGATGCTTCCGATATTGATTTTTTACTATGACTGGCCTTTTTTCACGATCAGATTGACTTTCGGACGAAGGATAATCTAATTTACCCCTATTACTGTCTCCTCTATTCCAAGTAACCGATATCATTCAGATGCTCAAATCACTTCTGATTCTTGAGAGCTCAAAACTTGTTCTGCCATTCATTTTCATAAATTCTATATCAACCTTTGATCTCCTATCAGTCAAACGAATCTTCTTTCCGTTCATTTTAAACCACCGCATAAAAAGTCCCGTTTAGCTCTTCCATAGATAGCGTTAATTGATCATCTAAGGTTGAATTTTGTTGTATTCGATATGATTATCCCACAAAGAATTCTTGAAATATTTCTTTGTTTTATCAATTTTGGAATGATTAATATCAGACATCCAATTTTCCAATATAAATGAAAAAATCTCTTGAAAATTCGTTTTGCTAAATATTAATTTAAGTCTTCAAATCCTCTCCCATATATCTCCTGTATCAGGTTGGTTTTGTATTACGACTCATTCCATATTTTCAAAAGAACTTTTTGAGTTTTATAAGCAATGGAATTTTAAATTCCCATTTATCAGTTATGATTTGCTTTAAAGAATTATGTTCTATAAAATCTAAAGAAATCTGAATACCTTTTTTGGCGTTCTCTCATTTTTGCAAAACTTCAAAAGATTCAAATTTAAAAGAAAATCCGGAAAATTTCAACTACCTATGAATACAATTAATTTTTGATTTTGTACCTTTTCAGACCAATGCACCTTTTCAGTACTTTCCTATTGGTCAATTGCGCTGCTTTCGTTGCGCAAGTAAGTTCCCCAACGAATTGTTTCTATAGTAAAGATTATGTCCCAATGTAATCCTTGATAGAATACCAAATATGCATGAATTTTTTAAGGCATCACAGATGAGAAAGATGGAGCCAGGACCACCAGGACCGGATGGACCTGATGGAGAAGAGGGACCTGAAGGACCGAGGGGAATAAAAGGTCCTCGAGGAAACATGGGACCAGTTGGAGAGTGAGGAAAGCAAGGGCCAAATGGAGTGCAAGGTCGAAGAAGTCCAGAGGGACCACGAGGTATCGAAGGACCAATGGGTGGTGCTGCTGGTTAGAACGGAATGTGAAATTTGTCGTAATTAACGAAGTAACTAACGGTGATATCAGTCCTCTTATTTTAGCTGCATTTTTTGCATTAATCTATCGTTGATGTGTCCTTCCTATTATGTCAGAAAGTTCATCGGCCTAAAATTGCTGCCGATGCCTTGACGGAATTTGATTATAAAAGTTGGAATATAAAATTTAAAATATTTATTGAGCAAAGCTTTGTTATATTAATAATGATGGTGATGTTGAAGGTTGGAAATTTTATAAAATTTTTCTTCATAAAATTTTCGACATATCCCATTAATTCCATTGCCTGTTGCTTTCATCGTCTTCCATTCATCCTTCCTACGTCTCCTTCCTCTCCTTGTAGCCCTCTTGGACCTTTCAGTCCTTGCGGCCCTATCTCTCCCTTATCGCCTTGACTGCCTTGTCGCCCTTGTGGTCCTTGCATCCCACGTATCCCTTTCGGACCTGTTAGACCCTTAGGTCCTGGGTTTCCCTGATCTCCATCGCGGCCATCTTTTCCCGGCGGTCCTACGGGTCTTTTTATGCCTCCCATTTGCGGAC